ATTAAATTCTGCCCAGACATCTGACATGAAATTTTGCCCAGACCCTCCCACATCAAACTTCACCCAGACCATCTCATATTAAATTCTGCCCAGACCGTCTGACATGAAATTTTGCCCAGACCCTCCCACATTAACTTCTGCCCAAACCATCCCACATCAAATTCTGCCTTGACCATCCCAACTGAATTTTGCCCAGACCATCCCACATTAAATTCTGCCCAGATCATCTGACATGAAATTTTGCCCAGGCCCTCCCACATTAAATTGTGCCCAGACCATTCCACATCAAATTCTGCTGAAACCCTCCCACATCAAATTTCCCCCGGAGCCTCCCACACTGAATTTTGCCCATCCTGGGAGCAGCAGGATGAAACAGGACCTTGCAGACAGGGCTGTTGCCCTCAGGACGTGGCCACTGCCCCCTTTTAACTCCTTTTTATCTCCCCTGTCCCTTTTCCGTCGCAGCTTCCGCGGCCACGCTGATCAACATCCGCAACGCCAGGAAACACTTTGAGAAGCTGGAGAGGGTGGATGGCCCAAAGCACAGCCTGCTCATGCGCTGATCCCAGGCTTTGGGGGCAGGAAGCATGGATTTGGGACTACTTTTTAGGAGAATCTAACACTGTCGATGTCTTTGTTGGGCTTTATGAGTGTGCTGCTTTGTTTTCTCTCCTTTTCACGTCGGACACTAGAGGCTCAGAGGATGTCTGGATACACTGCGGACCTTCAGAGACTTCCCTGGCACCCCGTGGGCTTGGGAAGGAGGCAGGACAGGTGATATGCCCGTGGGCTGGTGCTCTCAGGTGGATGTTTTGCTGCCAGGAGGACATTTTAAGTCCCAGGAATATGGGATATTTAGTGGTTTCTTGGTTGGTTGCTTGAATAAGTTTCTGAATTTCTCCTTGTCTTCGATCATGAAATTAAATTTTTTGCTACCAGGGATTTCAGATCCTACTGCTTTGGAAAGTGGGTTTGCTTTCTTCCAAAACCTGAGGCAGCTTTGGGAAGCAGATGTGTGGGAGCTGCATTTCACCTTTCATGTTTTTGGGGGATTTGACTGGAAGCCATTCCGGAGTTTCACTGGGAATTGCTGGCGTGGTGGGTGGGAGCTGATGCTTGGCAGCATCTCCCTCCCTTTTTTTTCTCTTGCTGCATCAGATTACTGTATAAAAAGGGTGTGGTGATTCCAAGCCTGGCTTTGCCCCCATATCCCTGCCCACACACCCACTGGGAGGGGAGACATCCGACAGGGCAAGTCTGTTGGGTGAGGATGAGGAGCCAAAGGGCACCTTGGGCTGGAGAATGGAGGGGGCTGCACACAAACCCTCCCATCCACTCTCCATCCTCATGGAATTAACACCCGTGTCTCACACCGCCCACCCTGCAGCTGCTCAGGCTGGGGGAGCTTTCAATGGGAATCATCCCCGTGGGAGAGGAGCTGTGAACAGTCCAGGAGCTTCTGGAGAACTGTGAATGGGCTGGAGATGGAGGGGTTGTGCTTGACTGTGGAATACCTGGAGTAGGAACAGCAGGTCTGGGTGGAGCAAACTCCAGTTCCCCCTCCAGCTGTGACTGGGCCAGGTCCTGCAGGGAATGTCATGGATTCCCACCCCCATGCCCTCGGTGCTGCCGAGCGGAGCAAGAGGAGGAGTCGCTGCTGATCCATGTGTTGGAGCCTTGGGAATCCAGCTCCAAGGGATAACCAGGAAGGGCTCTGCTTGCAGCTCCAGGACAGCACAAGATGGGTCACAGCCACAATTCCAGGAAGACTGAGGCACCTGCTGGGAGCACCTTATCCCAACACGTTATCCCTGATCCTGCCGGAGCCGGGGGAAGGACAGTGGGAATGCTGCGCCATTTCCATGGAGATGAGGAGTTGTTGGGCTTCCTTAGGGGATAAACTTCAGCACATGGAAGCGGGATAAGGTTAAGGGGTGGAAATGGGGGTGAGGGAGGAGTGTTCTGGGAGCTGCTCAGGAGCCAAACCCTGTGTGCCGGGTCTGGCCTGGCTGGAGCCCGTCGGGGCCAGTGATCCAGTGTTGGGGCTAAAGATCTGCTGCTCTCTGGCTGCAAATCTCTCTTCCTAAAATACATGGATTTTGGGAATCAACCTTGTGCTTTTGCTCTGGCAGAGGTGCTGCTGGTGCTGCTCTGTGAAACCTCCTGTGACAAAACACAGGTGGCTTTATAGCAAGATGCTCCAGCAGCACCGTGTTGGCTTGTTTGTCTCTCCCCAGATCTGAGCAGGGAGGTTTGGGGGATCAAGCTCAGCACCCTCATCCCACTCCTGGAAAACTCTTCCTCCTTTCTCTGGTGGATCTTCACAGCAAAAACCAGCTGGTGCTCTCCAGATGTTGCTCACACACACATCCTGTCCCAAAGAGCCAAACCTCGATGAGGTGGCAGCGATCCGTCCTCTTCCGTCAGTGCTTGACCTTGGAACTGGGAGAAACTTGATGCCACCTGTCACCAAGATCCTGAGTGAATCCCGCCCTTGGCCCTGTTCCTTTCCTCCTAGAGCTGCTGTGGGGCCCAGCGTGGGTTCCCTGGGGCTGGGCAGCTTGGGGCCCCTGTGTTTGTCTTGGGTGTTTCTCCCAAATTTTCTGACTGTTCCCTTCCTGCGTTGGACTGTGGATGGTCCAAGTCGGGTCAGCTTTAGGGTGAGCAGTGATGAGCTGTGTTAGGGTCAACTTGGCTTCTGGGGCTCTCCCTGAGGGTACCCCTGCTGCTTTTCCCTCCTTAGCAGCACCTGGTTGTCCCCAGGAGAATTGGCTGGGTGGGATGGACGTAGGTCTGTGGTGCTCACCAGCTGCCAGGCACTGGGATCCAGCTGGGATCCAGCTCCTCCAGCACATCCAGTGGGGAGCATGGATTCTGCAAATCCTTGGCAGTAGCCTTGCTCTGCTCAACTGTGGCTTGTAGGCACCTCGGGAGGTGCATCCACACCATCCCCAGGGGCCTGGAGTTCAGAAGATCCAAGATCTCCAAGTCCAAGTTCTTGTGGGACCTTCTGTCAGATGAGGGTCTTTCCCACGTGTGAGCTGGGGATGATTTTGGGTGGTTATGATCATATGGTGCTGGATCTCACCCAGCTGCAGCCTGGCCCCATCTCCATGGCCACTGTCCTGCTCTAGGCAGGTCCAGGTGGAAGCTGAGGGCCTGGCCTTGCTGAGATGAGCATCTCCAAGGATGGATTTCTGTTGTGTCATCACCCTCAGCATTTTAAAATTAAGAATAGAAATCCACATATTGGAGCTTCCCATGGTGCCTCTTGTCCTGCCACCACCATCTCCACGAGGAGAGCCACCTGGCTCTTTCCCAAGGTGCCCCAGCACCTCCTGGATGTGCTCCAGTGCCTCCATCCCTGCTTTTGATGTGCTGGGGAGCCCCAAACTGGGCAAAGGCTGGTCTCGAAGTGCTGTAAGGACAGGAACAGTCTCTTCTTCCTCAGCAGTGGTCATGGGGATTCCTAGTGTTCATCCCAACCCTTTGAGCCACAAGAGTTCCTTTAGTTTTCCACCTTATTATCCATTTTTCTGGAAGCTGTGGGTGTTGGGGTTGCTCCAGAGTTCCGCACGTCAAGAACAAGGTGGGGTGTGTTTAGCTGGGCTGGAAGGGGTTGGGACCTGCCCTTGGAGGGATGAGCTGAGCCCACCTGAAGTGTTTGGTCAAACCAGGGCTCCAGGAGGCCAGTGCTGGGATGGAGGGGCCTGCTCCCTCAGCAGAGCAGGGAGGGAGAAGGGACCATCTCCTGTTGGAGCTGAAGTGGTTGTGGAAGGAAACATTTTGGTGCAGTTGGACCTGGAGATGTGGTGGATCAGGCTCAGCAGGGAGGGGAGAGGCAGGACGGTGCATGGCCAAGGTCCTGTGGGCTTTGTGGAGTCAAGGATCACACCTGTGGTTAACCTGGAGACCACTGCCCTGGGTTCCATGGCTGCATGGGGGAGGGGTCTGGGATATTCCACATCCAGCTCCTCGCCCGAGGTGGCGGGAGAACAGCAAAACACCCATTTCTGAGGTGCTTTTGTTGTTTGGCTGCTCCCAGGGTGGGCAGGAACAACCCCCACCTCTGCTGGAGCCCAGCACATGCTGCTGCTGCCCGAAGGGCTCGAGGGCTGCTGGGGGCTGCGACCTTCTCCTTTGCTTGTCCTTCTTTGTGACCCCCCTCTCCTTCCATGGCCCTTCCCTGTCCCTCACCTTCTGCCCAGCCCCAGTGGTGTTGTCCATCCCCTGGACCTGGGATCAGCTGCTGCTGCTTGGATCCAACAGGCTGGAGGTGATGGACCTTCCCCTTGGGAAGTGACAAAGCCCAGGGGACCCCACGGAGCCCCTTCCTGGGGGGGCTGTCCCCATCCTTCCCTCCTCTGCCTCTGCCTCCTCTGTGTCCCCCCAGATGTGGGGTCTCCCCAAGCCCTTCCTGCCCAGTTCCTGCTGGGGCAGAGCTGCTGGAGGAGGCACCAGTGCCATGGGCATGGGACCCCCTGGAGCTGCAGGGCCCCCCCCCAGCACCAGCACAACCCAGGGCGTGCCCCCTCCTGTCCAAATTCATCCTCAGGGATGCCCTTCCAGGGAGAGCAGGAGGGGGGGATGTGCCCTGGGTCACCCAGCTGCCACAGGGACCTCGGGGGAACCCCATGACCCATTCCCCCCTTTCTCCTGTGTTTTTTGGGAGCTCACCTGGCACTGCAGGGCCTGCAGCTGCTCCTTCAGCTCAGTGCTGTCGGGTCCCAAGGGTGGAGGTCCCTCCAGGGCCCACTCCCACCACACAACTCCCTCCCCAAAAAGCTTTTGTGGTCCCAAAAAAACTTTTCTGGCTCCAAAAGCTTCCCGGGGGAGGCTGGTCAAGGGTGACTCCTCCTCGTGGAGGTGACCCCTTCCCTCACATTTCTAGGGGGTAGGATTACATTTTTTTTTCCCAAACAGGGTCATTTTGGTCACGGGGGTCCCTCCTCCCCCCCAGTTGAGTTCTGTGGTGGTTGGAGGAGCTGCAGGTTCTCGGCCAAGGTCACTCGTGCTGGCCTTGAGTCACCCCTGGGGGGGACATCGTGGGTGGAGGGCACCTGGCCATGTGTGAAACACCCCTGGGGATGACCTGGGTTGGGGCAGGAGACACATTTTTTGGGGTCAGGGGGTGATTAACCCGGCTCGGGGATGCCCCAGCCAGCAGCTGAGCCCTGGCAAACTCAGTGCAGGGGGAGGACAGTGGGGTCACCCCGAGAATGAGGGCACCCTGAGAGTGGGGTCACTGTGGGACTGGGGACCCCCTTGAGATTGGGGTCACCCAGAGACTGGGGACACCCCGAGAGTGGGGTCACCCCGAGGTTGGGGACACTGCACTGGGAGCTGCCAGGTCCCCACAGAACAAGGGGCTGGAAAATCGTGGGGGCCCGGGGAGCGTGGGGTGGGTGGGGGGTGGATTCCCAGGTGGCAGCTGTGCCCCGGGGCTCCCCAGGACCCCTAGGAAGGGGCCAGGGGACCCCCAGCCCCTCCTGTGGCTGTAGCCCCTCGGGGAGGCTCCCCCAGCTCTGCCACAGCCCCGACAAACCCAGGGGACCCCCACTGTCCCCAGAGCCACACGGGTGCCCCCCAGCTGGGGTGCCAAGGGGGTACCCAAATATTTGGGGGTGGGGGGTTACCTGTAGGGTGAGGCAGAGATTGGGCAGGGAGGGGTGTGGGCAGTGCCCCCCCCCCCACTTTAGGAATGACACATCCCCCCAGGGGGCCACATCATGCCCTGTCCCCACCCCGGGCCCCCAGGGGTGCTCACCCCAAGGATTTGGGGGTGTCCCAAGCCCCTCTGGGGTGGGGGTGCAGTGGGATGCTCCCGCCTCTCAGTCACGGGGGGGGGACACACACGACCCCCAAAAGGGTGGGTCTCTGCTCCCCTCCATCGCTGACACGAGTTCACCAGGTCTCAGCAGCACCACCCCACCCCACCCCCCCGATTTTGGGGG